TAGGCATGTTGACGAAATTGCCGTATTAATTGTTATCATAACGCACGAGCATGATGTTGAACAATTCAAAAAGGTATATTTTTCTATATGCGTATAACGTTTTCATTACTTGACTCTTTTATATTGAGCTTATTTATGTTTACTTTGTGACATACATAGATGATATTTCACCCAAATGCATTTAACGTATCAATTTAGAATTTCTTTTTTTGTAGTTAAAAAAAATACTATATATTTATTAATATGTGTTATATCATGAAATAATCTGTTTTAGGTAATTAAATTCGTCAAAAATAGTTTGAATAAATATTTAATTAATCCTGTCGAACAAAAAATCAAAAATCGAGAAATGGAATACAATAGAAAAGTCGACAGATACAAGTTTCTCAGTCTAGACACGTTCTAATGATGCAATAAAAGCCAAATATTTAAATTGATAGAAGATAATAATTTTACTTGTTTCTCGCAAGCATTCATATATTAATCGTTCGTTTATGTAATCATCTTCTTATTGTTATACTTATCGACATAATGTCCGCATATATAAATTTCTTTGTATTAATTCACTACACTGACGTATGGTCTGTGTTTAGACGTGTGTGATCAGATCACACATCAGTATCACATTATTCTGTTACCATAACGCGGGATAGCTGCAATCCATTCTTTCATATTTGATATCACTCTATTCATTGTTTTCGTTTCAATAAAATTTAATTTATTTAAAATTTAGTACATATTAAAAATCATATTTATATTAGGAAATAAATATTTTTTGCAAATTTTGCATTATTGATAAATGTTAGTCATGCTTTTGACATCAATATTGTTCAATATTGATAATTGCATGAATATCAATGTTATATATGGTCTCTATTCTGCTTTTGTAAATTAATGGATATTGGTAACAGCTTTTGACCTTTTAATATCTGGCAGAATCTGCGCGCGGTTACGTCATTAACTTTTTAATAAAATAAATAAGTAAAATTATTTTTTTAACCTGTTCGGCAAAAGAAAGATTTTCTAGATTTGCTGTTTCGGAAAAATTGCCAAGTAAACGCATTATTTGACGAAAAAGTATTTTAATAAAATCAAATGCAAAATAATAATAATACAAAATAAATAATATTTATTGTAATGTAATAAAATATATTATATAATACAATAAATTATACAATATGCAATAGATGTACAATACAATGTATTATGCATACTTTGACAAATTTAGTGCACGTAAGGTAAATGTACTTATAATTTAATATAAATTAATTTTGTACAAAAAAAAATTAAATTTTATTATTTTGATATACGATAATTCTAAAAATTATTTATTTAAAAAATATAATTTTCACATATTTGCTATATTTCCTATAACAGTAGTTAAAAGCAACGTAGAAATTTACTTTTTAAATTTATACACAAATTATCTGATTAGATATCAACAGTCTATTTGTTTATCCATGTTTTTAGTACAGTGTTCGATACTGTGTAATGTAAACCTTTTAGAAACTATTTACATTATGTATTTATTATGTTAGCTGCCAATATTCTTCTTAGTGTACGGAGACTTCTCGAAGCAGTAAGATAGCGATTAAATTTATATATCTTTAGCACTCGCAATTCAAGACAGTGTACTGTACTATTGTTACAAATTGTTAATTGTTACGAAGTACCGCAATTTAAATTTTCACATAATTTTAATATATATAGGTGAGTTACCACATGTGGAAGATTTCTCATTAAATATTCCAAAAATTTCGAAAGCATAGCAAATACGGCTCTACACTGTTAATAACGTATTCTTCAGTGCTAACATCTTTTACTATTCGTTTACTTTCTTTTTTTTTTTTAATTTATACTACAATAACTCAGATAACATAAAATTAATCAAGCAATTGTTTTAATGTAATATTTTTGTATTAAATATATGCCATATGTTAAGAATTAATTATTTCAATATTTGCAAAAGTTATTGATTTGATTCTGTTCCTTGAACTTAGTGTACATATAATTACACCAAAAAAATACTTAATATTGTAAAAATGCAATTTTTATTAAAAATAAGTAATTAAATTATAGGAGTAAACAAGAAGCAAGGCTCGGCCAAGGCTCGGTGCCTGTGCTAAATATATTATAAAAACAATTTTAAAAATATTAACGTTTCGACCACAATTTGGTCTTTTTCAAAATTCAATGATTTAAAATATTATTTCAAATAAAATAACAAACGCTTTCGGATTAATATAAAAAAGTAATTTCTCATCGTTTATGTGTTTCAAAAAAATTCGCATCGCTGATCTTATATTATATGTCGTAATGAAATAGAATCCCATCCAGTTCAATAAATAACAAAATAAATTTTTTTTTAGTTTTATAGTTACAAACTTTTAATGAAAATTTTGGTGATTTACAACATTCGAGATATTCTTCAGTCAAGGAAGAGTCAAAAATGTACTCAGCTAATTATAAAACTAAACTTAATGTGTCAAAAGATAGAAAACAAGTAACTTGTGTAACAGTGAATTTTTCACTAAAAGTTTTTAACTATGAAACTGAAAAAGAAATTTATTTTTTTATTTATTGAGCTGGAAAAGATTCTTTTTCATTACGACATATAAAATAAAATCGGCGATGCGAATTTTTATGAAACACATAAGCGATGAGAAATTACTTTTTTATATTAATCCGAGAATGTTTTTTAATTTATTCGATGCAATATTGCAAATCGTCGAATTCTGAAGAAGACCAAATTGTGGTCGAAACGTTAATGTTTTCAAGATTGGTTTTATAAAATATTTAGCACGAACACTTAGCCTTGATCGTTTTACTTCCTGTTTACTCATTTAATTTTAAATTTATGTTAGCCTTTGATTACAGTTTCTGTATTTAATTTCTATTTAATTAAATTATGTTTTTTGTAAGATTTTGTGTAACATCTTGTATTCAAAATTTCGCTCTTTTCCAACGCTACTAGAAATAATTTTTTTTTTTTAAATTCTACTCCGCATTAGAATGATTAACTGTAATCTTTTATTTATTATATATTTTTTGCGATATAGCGGTTAAGTGCTTTGTACTCGCAAATGTGTCTCTCTTTAATCAATAAATTCTTCTTGCAGATGCTTTAAATGGAAATTACTATGGCATTCCGACAAGTTCTGTTAAACGTCGAATTAATATTCATCGTGATAATTATACTATCTATTGCAAAATTTACAAAAAATGATACTAAAACTAATTGCAATACTTTGAATGACACTGATATAATACCATTTAATTATAAGGTTAATATAAAATTTGACCTATACAGAAATATTATTTTTGGTAAATGTTATACCACAATAAAAGTTTGTCGACCAACGAAAAATATCACTATCATGGGCTCAGAGACTTTTGCTATAGTTAAAATTAATTTATTAAACAACGATAATTATCAAACTATAGACATCTCAAAATATTCTTTTATCGACAAAACGTACATTCATCTTGATTTTACCCAGTCTTCAATAGATTTTTTATCTCCTGGTACGTATATCTTAACAATTATATACGACCGTACCATATTAGATGGCGGAGACTTTTCCGAATTTTTCTACACACATAAAGAAGAAAAGAAAGTGTAAGTTAATATAATCAATTATTAATCAAATTAAAATTTTATATTAATCACACATATAACATAAAATAGATTAAACAACAAAGGTAGTATGATAATAAAAGCACGACAACTATTTCCATGTTTGAACGAGTCGGTATTTAAATCAACCTTTCACATTTACATCAAGCATCATAAAAACTACACATTTTTATCAAATCTGCCGATAAACAAAAAAGTTGACGATTTGAATGACATGCTGTGGACTCTGTTTGACACATCATCTTTAATGTCCGTTGAACATTTAACATTTAAGATGACAACATTGTATTATGACTTAAATAATTTTTCTCTTGATGCAAATCTCAAATTTTGGCATAGAACAGAGATAACAGAACAGATGCAATATGCAAAAATCTATGCTTCTAAAATTCTGAATTATTTGGCAGAAAAAAATAAAAAAAAATTACCAGAACTGAATTACATTATAATTAGGGACTATCAGTTTAATCACGGAAAGGTAAAGGGATTTATTCTATTAAGGTAATACTAATTGAATAGAACCAAATTGAATAAATTATAAATAATAAACAATAAACATATTAAATTATAATATTCTAAAAAATATTTATTTTAATGTTAGTATGATTATTAGAAAACAACTAAAACATACCACTTACATTACTGCCAAATTTAACTTTATTACTGATTTATCCTTAAATTTATTATTAACTAAATATAATTAATGTTTATTTGTGTCATCGTAATAATTTGTATTTACTATAACGACAAAACACAAATTTATTAAGTTGCATAATTATAACAAAAATTTTGGGTATATTTGTAACATTTAAAAACAATTTTCAGGGAAGAAGATGTTCTTTATAATGAGACATTAGATCATGTTGTCCGCAAAATGGAAATAGCAAACTTAATAGCACATGAAACGATATCTTATTGGTATGATGATGTGTTTCTATGGGCAAAAGACGGATTTATTGCATTTCTTGCAGCACATACTTTGCATCAGGTTTTTTTATACTCTTACTAATATACTACATTTTCAGACTTATTAATATTAACGATCAAATGTTAATAGCAGCTGTTTGCAGCGCTAAATACATGTTGCCAAAATTCAAATATATTTCTCTACTACCTATACATATTTACTCGATCATGTCACTTTACAGACTTACTTGTATCACATGAATTTATTTGTCGTTCAAACACTACAGGAGTCTTTACGACTCGATGATTCTTTTCATCCATCATACTTCGCATATGACTCTATAGTTCATCCATATAGATCATCTCATCATTACATAAAATGTAAGTTTAAATAAATAAATGTAATTAAAATATTATTTATAATTATAAGAAATATAATTTTAAAATATTCATTATTATACGTAAATTCTTAAATTTGCAAGTAATAGAATATAAAAAAACTTAACTACAAATCGATTCAAGTACAACTTGCTTGTACATAAAATTTATTATAAGTATATTAAGAGTAAAAATTAATACTATTCTAAAATACTAATTACTATTATGTCAATAGTGATTAATACTATATTAAAAGTAAAAAGAAACTACTTAATAATTACTTTATAATTTGAATTTTTGCAGCATCCGTTATATGGCGTACGTTATATAATATAATATCTGATGATGTGTTTTGGACAGCTATCAACAGATATGTAAACACACTGTGAGTAAAATTTTTTTATATGTTTTAATAGTGTCAATGATGTAAAAAATGTGAACAACAAAATATACATGACATGCTTCAAATTCTACTATTCAAAAACATAGAAGTTAATTGTTTTCAATTTATCAACAACTTTTAGTTATCCTTTTCCGTTCCTAGTTATCCAGAAAGATTTTTATTCAACACATTGTAGATTTATTATTAATAGTAAATAATTGATTAATAGTAAATAATTGATAAAAAATATTTTTGAAATTAATTTTTCAGAGATAGTCGAACAACCGCGACAGATACTATGAATTTATCTGACGTGTCATTTTGGATTGTTCTGGAAAGTGCTCTGAATGAAACGAATAACACATCTAACTTTAATATGACAGATTTGATCTATAATTGGTCAATGGAAGGATATTATCCTACACTGTACGTGACACAAAATAATTCGAAGACATTAATTACATATAGTAATTATGAATATACATTTATTTTTGGCATGAAGCGATATCCAGTTTATGTGACATATTCATCAAAATCAATCTTATATTTTGAGTCATTACATTACTGTTGGCTATCTCCATTACAACCGTACTGTTATTTACTTGACATTGACAGTAATGAGTGGATTATAGTCAATTTACAACAAATTGGTAAATATTAAACAGTAACTTTATTATTCTATTGTTTTATTTTTTAATTGACGTTTTCTTATTCCATGTTTAATTATTAGAAACATGATTTTTCTGTTTATTTGATATTTCAATATATGTAACCACAATTATACACTGTTTCACAACAATTTAGCAATCAAGAAGAATTGTTTTAATAAAAGCAATCTTCTAAGCATTGTAACTCTGTAAAAAATTATCGTATTTTAATTTAAAAGAAATCATTTTCCAACTTAAAATCTTTTTTCTCATTTAGTCATTTTATCGACAATGAAGAACACACACTTAATGTTCGGTAAATGAAAGTTTTTTAAATATAAATGTAGAGTGATATATGGGGTCAGGCAAGAAAACGGGCGATTATAAATAGACGATTATTAACTTTTGCATATTTATTAACAACTTTTTATGTAAAAAATCTCAAACACGTAGTTTGCCATTTGTGTTTAGAAGATAACATCGCGCAAGTTACTTCTATTCATTAATTTGTTATTAATTTTGCAAATATTTTATTAAGAAAATAAGTTATTTAAGAAAGTATTTAAAAGGAAATAATGATATTTGCAAGCACTTCTTCATAAATTTGTTGAGGATACTTTAATAATAGAAATATTATTTTTGTGTCATAGGGTACTATCGCGTCAATTATAATGAGGATAACTGGCAAAAACTTCAGTATTATATGTACTTTGTAAATTATACCCACATTTCTGTTTGCAATCGAGCCCAAATCGTTGATGACGCCTTTCATTTTATGATCAGAGGACAACTCAATTTCGATTTGTTTTGGGATGTTACAAGTTTCCTCTTAAGAGATACAAACTATGTAGCATGGTATCCTATGATTAAAGCTGTTGAATATATGGCGTGTATGTGGGCATTTAAAGATGATATAAGTGCAAAGGTAAATTATAATAATAGTAAATTTTCACAAACAAAAATATTATATAATATTAAAACACTGTATACATATAAAAGGAGTTAAAATTAATATGAATATGTGTAAATATTCTTATGTCATTTTTTTTTAAATGATAATAAATTTAAAATTTTTGTTATTTAACAATTTTTAGAACAAAATTAAATACATGTTCCATGGACTTCTGTTGAATATAGAATACGATGACACAGATAGTGATGACGATTTTACTAAATGTTTAAGAGAAGAAGCGATAAAATGGGCATGTATTCTCGATGCTTCTGACTGTAGAAAAACAGTCACCTCTCAATTAGAAAGACATCTTGTAAATTCTGCAGGAGACGAGTAAGTTGCTATTGTATAAATAAATTTTATGGCATTATTGCCCTATGCTAAATAAATTATTTTTTACTATTAAATTATAAAACATTGTAAAGAAATATTTATATAGAATATTTCTTTTTTTCTGTTAATGCAGATTTTTAAGACGGAACGAATGGTTATACTGTAAAGGTTTAATGGCAGCAAACATCAGTATTTGGCGAATGGTGTGGAATAAATGGGATTCATCATTCGATAAAAAATTTTTAGAATACTTAACTTGCTCTACAAATACTCTCACTATTAGATCGTATTTGATTATATTAAGCAAAGATAATTTTTTTCCGTCATACAATAAAGCGAAAATTGCTAATATTTTTCTCCTTATTTTTGCAAAACATGCAAGAAATAATGTAGTACTCGATTTTATATTCAACAATACACAATTCTTCGATTTAAGTAAAAAAAGGTGATTACGTTTTTTTTATGAATATATTTCAATATTTATGAATATTTGTTATATTTGTAAAATGTATTACTTTGCTTTTGTAGGCATGTTGACGAAATTGCCGTATTAATTGTTATCATAACGCACGAGCATGAAGCGGAACAATTCAAAAAAGTATATTTTCTTATATGCGTATAACGTTATCATTACTTGACTCTTTTATTGAGCTTATTTATGTTTACTTTGTGATATACATAAGTGATATATCTGACCCAAATGCACTTAACATAGCAATTTAAAATTTTTTTTTGTAATTAAGGAAATTTTTATATATTTATTAATATTTTTAATATTATCAAATTATCTGTTTTAGATAAGTGAATTCGTTAAAAATAATCCGACAATGAATACAAAGCAAGTAGTTGATGCTGTTGAACACAAAATAGAAAAACGAAAAAAGGAACACAATGAGAAAGTCGAAATATACAGGCAAATCGATAGAATAATATAATGGAATAGACAAACAATTGAATCCATGAAGGATTCAATTTAAACAATAGTTTTTTACATGTTACTCACATGCATTCATTTATTAATCATTTTTGTAATTTTCTTTTATTGTTGTATTAAATATTTTTTCTCAATTTTAAAATGTTCCATTTTTGTTTTATATATTTCTAATGTTTTATTTTTCTCATATTTAACATTAATCAATATTTATATACGTATACAAATATTCGTAATTTTTAATCTCTTGTATTTATTTATAATCTCTAGTAAATTATAAATCTTCGTTGCGTTTGTTATCTTTTCTTTTTGGCTTTTTCTTTATACATTAAAAATTTATTATATTATTCTTTTAACATTGTAAAATCTGTCATAATAAAGTTTGATAATTTATTTCTGGACGAGTTAATTCCCCATTTTGTTCGTAGTAATATATAAAAATTTATAATTTAATAAATTAGTAATATTATAATTTAATATAAATTGATTTTGTACAAAAAAAAATTAAATTTTATTATTTTGATAAACAATAATTCTAAAAATTATTTATTTGAAAAGTATAATTTTTCACATATTTCCTATATTTCCTATAACAGTAGTTAAAAGCAACGTAGAAATTTACTTTTTAAATTTATACACAAATTATCTGATTAGATATCAACAGTCATTTGTTTCTCCATGTTTTTAGTACAGTGTTCGATACTGTGTAATGTAACCTTTTAGAAACTATTTACATTATGTATTTATTATGTTAGCTGCCAATATTCTTCTTAGTGTACGGAGACTTCTCGAAGCAGTAAGATAGCGATTAAATTTATATGTCTTTAGCTCTCGCAATTCAAGGCAGTGTACTGTACTATTGTTACAAATTGTTAATTGTTACAAAGTATCGCAATTTGAATTTTCACATAATTTTAATATATATAGGTGAGTTACCACATGTGGAAGATTTCTCATTAAATACACCAAAAATTTCGAAAGCATAGCAAATACGGTTCTACACTGTTAATAACGTATTCTTCGGTGCTAACATCTTTTACTATTCGTTCACTTTCTTTTTTTTTTTTTATACTACAATAACTCAAATAACATAAAATTAATCAAGCAATTGTTTTAATGTAATACTTTTGTATTAAATATATGCCATACGTTAAGAATTAATTTTTTCAATATTTGTAAAAGTTATTGATTTGATTCTGTGAAATTTGATTTTGTTCCTTGAACTTAGTGTACATATAATTACACCAACAAAATACTTAATATTGTAAAAATGCAATTTTTATTAAAAATAAGTAATTGAATTATAGGAGTAAACAAGAAGCAAGACTCGGCCAAGGCTCGGTGTCCGTGCAAAGTATATTATAAAAACAATTATGAAAACATTAACGTTTCGACCACAATTTAGTCTTTTTCAGAATTCAATGATTTAAAATATTGTCTCGAATAAAATAACAAACTCTTTCGGATTAATATAAAAAAGTAATTTCTCATTGTTTATGTGTTTCAAAAAAATTCGCATCGCTGATCTTATATGATATATTGTAATGAAATAGAATCCCATCCAGTTCAATAAATATCAAAATAAATTTTTTTTTCAGTTTCATAGTTACAGATTTTTAATGAAAATTTCGGTGATTTTCGGACAACATTCGAGATATTCATCAGTCAAGGAAAAGTCAAAAATGTGCTCAGTTAATTATAAAACTAAACTTAATGTGTTAAATGATAAAAAACAAGTAACTTGTGTAACAATGAATTTTTCACTAAAAGTTTTTAACTATGAAACTGAAAAAGAAATTTATCTTGTTAGTTATTGAACTAAAGAAGATTCTTTTTCATTACGACATATAATATAAAATCGGCGATGCAATTTTTTATGGAACACATAAACGATGAGAATTATTTTTTTATATTGATCCGAAAGCGTTTTTTAATTTATTCGATGCAATATTGTAAATCGTCAAATTCTGAAAGGGACCAAATTGTGGTCGAAACGTTAATGTTTTCAAGATTGGTTTTATAAAATATTTAGCACGAACACCTAGCCTTGATCGTTTTACATCTTGTTTACTCCTTTATTTTTGAATTTATGTTAGCCTTTGATTACAGTTTCTGTATTTAATTTTTATTTAATTAAATTATGTTTTTTGTAAGATTTTGTGTAACATCTTGTATTCAAAATTTCGCTTTTTTCCAACGCTACTAAAACTAATTTTTTTTTTCTCAAATTCTACTCCGCATTAGAATGACTAACTGTAATCTTTTATTTATTATTTATTTTTTGCGATATAGCGGTTAAGTGCTTTGTACTCGCAAATGTGTTTCTCTTTAATCAATAAATTCTTCTTGCAGATGCTTTAAATGGAAATTACCATGGCATTCCGACAAGTTCTGTTAAATGTCGAATTAATATTCATTGTGATAATTATACTATCTATTGCAAAATTTACAAAAAG